ACCACCATTTGGATAAGTTTGCAGCTATTAGCATGAAAGCAAGACTGTTGGCCAGACTTGCTGAAAGTGTTGATGATTATTAGCACATGAATGAATACATTAATAAATATTTTGAATATATTCACAAATATTTTCATAAATATTTTTATGCTGGGGGTTGGAGCCAGAGCTTTCCCACTGAGCTACACATTCCCAGAACTATTTATTTTTTATTTTGAGACAAGGTCTAAGTTGTCCAGGCTAGGCTGGAACTTGAGATTCTCCTGCCTCAGCATCCCAAAGTGCTGAGACTACAGGTATGTAGCACCATGCCAGATCTGTATGTTGTTTTTTAAACATAATGTTATTACACTATTCAGTATAGTATGAATAACTTTTATATGCACTGAGAAACCAAAAAATTAGTGTCATGTGGTTTATTGCAGTAGGAACCAAATCCACAGTATCTTTGAAGTATGGTTATATATATATTTTCTTGTATAAAATTAGGAAATAGTGTGTTCAACCTTTAAAAAAAAAAGCTTTAGAAGTGTTAATATATCAAAATACACTATGCAAATACACTATAATTCTCTCAGAAATGAGTGTAATTTGAGATTCTCCCTAAACTTATCTGCACACAGAATCACCCCATCAGTACTTCTCAGAGATCTACTATTCCCAAGAAGACATTTTGGTAAACTCATCCCAGGGGTGCAGTGAGCTGTAATACTCTGCGTCTGGATACTCTCCCACACCTTATGAACTCCCAAGTGGGGCTTTAGGGAGGTGGCTGGCTGGATGGCAGGGCATGATACTCTTTGATGTGGCTCAGCCCCCTGATAATTTAGGGCTGAATGGGATTTTGGCGGTGAAGCCTGGTCGGAGGAGGTGGGTCACTGTGGGTCACTGGCCACATGCCTGGGAGGGCCTGCCTCTTTCCCTCCCATCCTGAGCTCTCTCTGCATGTCACCATGGTGGCACAACCTGCCACATTTGTCCCCTGGCATGTTCCTCAGCCTCACTGCCTGCTTTAGAGCTAGCTGACTGTGGACTGAGACCTCTCATAGATTATGAGCAAAAATAAGCTCATTCTCCTTAGAATTGTGGGTATCAGTTATTTTGTCTCAATGTGAACAAGTAATAAAGACATGAGATAACAAGCAGAACGTGATAAATACTATTACCTTTGATTTAGAGAAAGGAATATTCACTTTGGAAGAAATTGGGGGAGATTTTAGGAAGAAAGGATTTGAGTGGTCTCTTAAGGATCAGAAACATATGGACAGGAAAGTTTGATAAGTAGGAGCTGTTTAAGGGGGAGGAAGAGGTCTGGCCAAGAACAAAGAAATGGGAAAAGCATAAACTTCTTAAGGGACAGTAAATGTCTTTTATTACATCTACAAGAGGAGCCTCATAGGCTCAACCAGATATTTACCAGCTGCCCACAGACCACACTGGTCCTGGACCACTCAGAGGATGCAGGAAGGAAGGATATGAGGCAGTGAAGGGGCAGGGTTTGAGGATAAAGAAATAGAACAGGGACTTCCTCAGGTCTTCCAGCTGACCTTGGCTAGAAGGAGTTAAAAAGAAACTTTACTAGAGATTGTTGTGAGAAGCTAGACAAAGAAAGGGTTAGAGAAAAGAAAGGAAGGAAGGAAGAAAGGAAGAAAAGAGAAAAGAAAAAGAAAAGAAAAAAGAGAATAAAGAAGGGAACCAAATGGCTTTGGGATCTGGACCAAGAGACCAGAAAAAGAGCTGACAGACAAGACACAGAGAGGAAGCCAGGTGCACAAATAGACTGCCCCCACCTCCAATAAAATATAAAGGAACAAGAGGGGGCTGCCTAAGGCAGTATCCACTCATATCTATACACTAACATATGCGCTTACATTTGTGTGTATACTCTAGAATCACTATTTTATTTACTCTAGGGTCACTACAATACAAAGGTACCTACACTCCCCCCCTTACTAATCCTAATCTAATGAAGAATAATGTGCCCCCTTTGTCAGCTAGCTGCCCAACCCAAAGATAAGTAAGGCCTTATAAGTTATATCAAGGACAAGTAAATGAATTGGACAGAAAGATGCTGCACATAGACCACCAGAAGAAATGATGTTAGGAGAAGTGTGCAGAAGCTGCTAGAGTCATGGCAAGTTCTGGGTGGAGGGAAAAGGCTAATTCCTAGTCCTATAAGAACAGCTAAGAACAAAGCACCCACAGATCCTCCATCTTGCCGGAGCCCACTACCCTGATGTTTTCTTAGCTGTGGAGTCATCTAGCTTTTCCTTGCTCTCTCTCTCTTTTTCTCCTTACAAATAAAATATCTTCTTTCTATTAAGCTTTGCCCCTCAACTTTATAACTGGGGCTGAGTTATGAGCCTGGTGGGCTGCTGGGGTAGCAGAGCCATGGTGCTTATCCCCCAGAGACAACAGCAGGTAGAATCAGGCTTTCCACTTGAGCATGGTAGAGGTGGCCACAGACTGTGTATCAGTCCACACGGGTCTTTATTCAGCTGCCCCGTGGCTATTTTCAAATGTAAGGAAAGAAAATTGCATTGTAACATGAGCAGGTAACATAGTTTTCCAGGCTTAGAAGCTCTGTGTCTCAGTGGCACCAATATCTTTTGTTCCCACTCCTTGGATATAGCTTCTGGTGTCCCCATGGAGCACTTACTTAGTTAAAAGAGTCAAAGTATTTAAATCCAAGCTATGGATTATCTCCATATAACTGTAATTTCTCCCTATCCAGATTTAATTTACCAATCAAACATCATTTTAACCATAAGCAACGCAATCTATGTAATGTAGTTGATGTAATATGTTTATTAGAATTGCAACATAAGCACTTGAATGTCAAACAAGGGTCAGGTTCAGAGGCTGTGTCCTTTACATGTGTATATGTTATTATACATATGTATATGTATATGTATATGTATATGTATATGTATATATACAAGTGTATATGTTATTAAACTAGCAAAGCCAAAGGAGGCAAATTATTTGTGAGATCTTGGATTTCAAACTAAAGACTTTAGATTTATGTAACTTCTAATTTTTCTGCACAACATTTTTGTTTTGGATGCAGCATTAGTATCTAATGGAAGACACTCTTTTCATTAGCACCGTTTTGCAGTACATAATGATAATCCTCGTTATGAGGAGTGAGCACCTATGCATTGCACAGCCGGATCCTTTTTATCTCCCCTTTCCCTCCCTTTTCTCCCCTCGCTCCATCTCTTGGTTACACTTTTCACTTTCAGATGCCCTCTTTCCCTATTTCAAATGATCTATCTTTTACTGTACTCTTTACTTCTATTTTGGATTTCTCACAAGAGAAATCATGCCATTTTAGGCTTATGTGATTCATTTCATTTAACATTATGGTCTCCAGGTGGGTCCATTTTCCTCAATGACTCAAACATCCTCCTTCGTAGCAGAGTAGTACGCTATTGTGTGTAAATATCACATTTTCTTCATCCATCCATTGACGGACGTGTAGGTTGCTTCTAAGATGTAGCTATTATGCTATAAACATGGTATGGTGTTTACTGTAATATATGTCTTTAACTCTTTTGAGAAGAATACTATGAGAATAGCTAAAATAAATGGAATTTCTATCTTGAGGTTTTTGAAGACTCTCCGTACTGATTTCCGTGGTTGTTGTGCTAGTTTGCACTCCCACCAACAGTGGAGAAGGGCTCCTTTTTCCCCCGCAGCCTCACCAGCATTTGTTATTATTTGATTTCTTGATGATAGCCATTCTTTCTGTAGTAAGGTGGAATCTCAGTGTTGTTTTAATTTGCATTTCTCTAATGGCCAGTGATGTTGAACATTTTTTCAGGTATTATTACCTTAAACAAAGCACATGAAAAGGTATATTTTGGTGTAAAAATGTTACAACACTTGAATAGATATCAGTGTTAGTATATTTCAGTAGAACCACCGAGAAGTTTTCATGCAGATACACATACATACAGCCATCTTCTGAAATAAAAACCATCTGAAATAGAAAGGATTGCGCTTTTTCAGCTCAGAGAAGGTTGAATCTTGAATAGCACACCAAAGAAATAAGTATCTGGTGCTTACAAAGTGATCTTTTGTTTTGTGTCATCAGTGCATGTCCCAATATCCTACTGAAGAAGGGTCACAATTTTCTGTATATGTCCAAATAAGAAAGCCCACAGGCTTTATCTCGAAGATGTTTGAAACAATGGCTTCACAAAAAGTTGAAGGCTACACATGAAGCACCTTTTGCTCTGCACTGAATATAACCATCATGTTTTATGAAAAGTTTTACAGTTTACATGCAACTTGCTGAAGCACTCACCAGTTGTTCAGGTCTCTCTATGCCATCAACAACCTCCCACATCTCAGAACTCAGTGTCTAGATGAGACCCTGTGATTCAGCAGCTACCTGACCTGGAGTCTCCAGTAGTAGAAACCTTCGATTCATGGCTTTACTATTTCCTCAGACTCCTACACAATTTATCTAATGAGCCTGTGTCCAACACCTGGAGGTCCACCAGAAGGAGACTTATTCTTCCCATGGTGACAAGTTGCCAATCTGATGCACTGACATTTTTTGTATGACAGGGGACACAAAGCTGCTTCCCTTCCACTCAGGCAACATATTCAAGCTAGAAATGTGGCTTAAGGACACTGACAAGCATCATTCTTTCCCATCCCGCCACACTCTATGTCAACTTGAAAATGCTATTCAACTCTATGACACATCTAACATATGGCTTTATGAACTTTTGTCCATAGGAAGGAGGGCAAAGACAAGGCATGAAATATTTATGAGCTGGCTCCTGTTTCCTTAAACAATAGAAGCAGGGATCTGCCTCCTCTGCTTCTGCATAGCTCATCACATAACAAAATTCTACACGCCAGTGCTGATGTATTTCAACTAATTGTGTTTGGTTCCTCTTACAATGAGAATGACTCACAGTATCCAGGCTAAGGTAGGATGCTTTTTAATGTTGGAGTTTGAAATCGAGGCACACGGTCAGGAATCCAAGAAAATAAATTTATTAAACTTTGAAGGAATATATCCACAGACATCAGGAAAGTTAAATATAGACTGCAGGACACAACTAGTCATACTAGTGAATAATGGCTTGTGTGGCCAGCTAAGTACCAAAATGACATTCTGAGACTGATTGAGGTATTTAACTATTTTTTGGCTATAGAAATGTGATTAGCCTATTGTAAAGTAAGATAGTTCTTTCAAACACACAGCTGTAAGTTGAATTAGGTTCTACATGAATGATATTTTATATGAAAACTCAATGATGTAGCTCCTGGAGAAAACCATAGCAGCAAGGTAGCGGAAAACCTATTAAATGAATTTCACTGTTTTTCCTGCAAGAAAGTGGGAATTAAAATCACCAACAACTAAGCTTCCAAAAGGTCTGAGATAAATGTCAAATACTATTTAAATCAAAGCTAACTTTAAAATTTTAAGTTTTTCAAAAACTACTGAAAATGAGAAGTATTCTTCAGTGAGATGAACTGATTTTCTCTCTCGTGAACCTTTTAGGGAGCTATCCTAACAAATGATGTTGAGGTTATGGAGGAACTGAAACAAATTTCTATACTACTTAGGCCTTTGTTGTGTTTTTTATTTATTTTTTATTCTGACTGTGGCTTGAGGCCAGACCTTTTGAAAGGACATAAAAAGTGATGATTTTTTTTTCTTTTAAAAATAAATCCTGTAAAAAGTTTAATGCAGAAGGTTCTGCTGCTGATCTAATTATTCTTGAGTTATTCTTTGGGCTAGAAAACCTTGTCTCTTCTGTCCCGTGATACTGTGAGTGCTGAGTATGCATCTGGTTCTAGGCTGTGAAACCAAGACCTGTTTCTTGGGCTTTCTGTCCCAGCAGCCTATCCCTTCTCCTCTTCTTAGGTAACTATGAAATAAAACCAAGTTGTGTTGGAAGGGACACCACTGCAGAGGTGCTGGAGCTTCCTTCTTGCTCCCTCCCCTCAGAGCACTGAAGCCTCCTGGCCCACCAGAACCAGCCTGACCTCTGCTTCCCTTATTGCACAGCTCTGTGGCTTGAACAGAAACTCGCTGAAGAAAGGGGTTTCCCCCCTGTATTTTTTGGTTTATGGTATGTTGATCAGTGTAAACATTTTCATAAAGTTTTCTAAATTAAAAAATATTTTTTTTAAAAAAATTCAGATACAGTGAATATGTTCCAATAATGCAGGTTACTAGACTTTTAGAATTATTTAAGAAGTTTTGGGTGATATAAAAAGGACGCTGTAAAAAACTAACTTGTTTGCTTTTCTTTAGGTGCACAGAACAAAGCATTAAACCAGCGTTACACTGTAGTTGTTCTATATTCTTTTTGATAAGTCATTGTGAACTACAGTACACAGTATGTAGTGTATTATAAAATAGCCATGCTTGAAGTCTAAATTATTAAAAATATCTTTATCAATTTTATGTCAAAATAAATGTTTTATATATCCAAACTATTTTTGGCTTCTTGCCTGAAGTTTTACTTCCAAGTTAATTAAAAGAAAAAAAAAATTAGCCTGTGCTATGACTTGTACTCAAAATCCTGAACTGCAAAAGCCACCTGACTTCATTTTGCTGTTTTAAACTGTACATTAAAGGGGTAGCCATTTAATCCTCAGTATCACAAAATTAACACCACAATAATAAGACAATTACTGCACTAAACAGTCTTTGAGGCAATTTAAAATATTTACAATTCACAAGGGAATCCCTATCTGATTAAACATTCTCGTTTTTTTCATTTCAATATGATATTTCAACATTTCAGGAAAAGGCATTTAGATTCTATACCCACCCTCGCACTCTCCCAAGAAAACATCGTTTCATTTAAGCCCTCAGGCCCTAGCCAATTCTTTGCGATGAAATATGTCACTTCCGGGAAACTGAAGGAGGCTACAGCATGATTTTGTTCAGTTGGTCTGTGCTCACGTAGCCGCACGATGAGAGAAATTCTTTGTCAGGCAAAGGCAGGGGCAAGGCAGCCGTGTTGAGGATGAGGCCTTGTGGAGACTGCACTATATGAACAGAGGTATAATCTGGGAGAGCCATTTCAGAGCCTGGAGCTTGTTCCACAACCCTGGACTTCTCAGCAGCAGTGGTAAGGCTTTCTGTGGTGACATAAGCATCCTCCTGTTTCAAGCTTGGCCCTTCATGTGTCTTGACCTCGGTGGGAGAGGTCATGACGATGCGCTGTTTGGCATCTCCCTTGAGGAAGTAGGCATTGTCTTTGATGAAGTTTGCTTCTGGATGCATGTCACACTGGGACAGTCCTGCTTTATTCCTTTGGCCTGGTGAGAGGACCACATTCCCTGTTGGTGTAATGTCGCTTACTTGGGCATAAAAGTCCATGTTTGCCAGTGAACTAGGATTGCTTATCTGTGTAGGGGCATCTTGGTTAGCTGACTCAGTTTTACCAATAAAGAGCAGTTGTGGTTTGTCTTCCTTTGCTGGGATGACGCTGGCTTGCTGAGGGTCAGGCGACGCATCGAGAGGTGAGTTAGTGTGGTTCTTCTCATCAAGGCACAAGAGATCAGCTTCTCCTTTTAACTTGTCTGACTGAACAGTCTCACAGGTGCCATCACACACATCACTGGCGCTGAAATCAGCCTCCAAAATGTCAGGTTCATAGCAGCTGGTACGGCCAGAGTCATCATCCTTTGCCCCGAGAATGTTAAGAGATTTCTGATGGTCACTGCTGAGAAGTCTGTCTGTGTCTGATCCTTCAATCTTTTCATCCGGGTCATCAATATCTAGCTCAATAAATTCAACCCAAGAGTCATCGTTGTAGAATTGAGGCTTAGAGTTATCATGAATGGCTAAGATTTTGTTCACCTCCTCTAATTTTCCTTCCTAGGAAGCAGAAAAAAATGAAGATCTATGAAAAGATCCTCATAATGATTAAGTAATTTTAAATCTGTACACATAGCTTGCAAAAACACTCTCCACAGAGGATAGTAGTCTTCATAGATGACTTAACTAGTGCTATGTACAATTGATATAGGTTTGTTAATTACCTTGAGGAGGTCTGGATCAACGCCTTTAATCTTTGGAACTGGAACTGGGGGCAAAATCAGCATCTTAATCCTTGAAAACAAATAAAATTTTGGTACATCATGTCTTAAAATTCACATGTTCTCTTCTTTCAAACACAGAAAGAAAATATTAGCAGCACTATTACTTATTCTAAATATTCTGGCATTTTATATAAGTGGAATATAAGAAAGGGAAGGAACTTCTAAGCAGTAAGTGAAAACCATAGAAGAAAAACAATAGCAGCAGAAAGCCCTCATTTGAAGTCCATTTCAATAAAATGCAATTTTCTTGTAATCCCTTTTCTTAATGCTTTTTATTGACGAGAAACTTCAGTATCTGAGAACGTGAAATGTAATTCCATCTGAAGCTAATTTCCATGTCAGCCATAAGGAAGGCAATTTTAGTGCACATCTCACTAGTAATTTGCAGAGAAAGAAGGAAAGAAGGAAGCAAGAAGGAAGGAAGGGAGGAAAGAAGGGGGAAGTGAGGAAGGAAAAACAGAAGAAAGGAGGAAACAAAGAACCAAAGAAATCAAGCAAGCTTAGTCTAAATAGAGCCAAAGTTATTTACGCCCTTGGAAGAGGATGGAATGGGGTAAATTAGCACAACACAGTTGACAGTAATTATAAAATCATCTAAAAGGATCTCTGACCAGAATATTACTGCAGCGCTCATTTTCAGTTAAGACAAATCTGAACTATCTCTAACTGACTAGAATGGATTTATACAGACAACTCTATGATGCACTTACATTTTCTGTTCTAAACAATAAAATAATTTTTTGAGTCATAATTCATTTTACTGTCTATCCGGCCTGTCTCGTGCCTTGTTATGTCCCAAGTACTCATTACAATTCCAGGCATGACGAAGGTCTTCCATAAACATTCCTTAAATAAATTTGAATGATTCATTTACCTATTCAGTTAATAGTGCAGCTAGAGTTTATAATTTAAAGTCACCGTTATTGTACTGGAAAGAAAATTCAGACATTGTCATTACAAGTAATTTATTTTATGGTTTAAAAGGAACCTCTGAAGTATTCAGAACTGTCATTGTTGGACAAGGGTAAGCTGGTTTTTCTATATTGTGTGGATGGGCCATCTGGTCTATTCAGAAAGGAATCTTTTCTCTTGGTATTTCCACCTGCCATTTTTCTTAATCTAAGGGATAAACCAAATTTCCTTATATAATTTTCTTTAAGTAACCACTTAAAGAACTAAGTAGCCACTTACTTTTCTTTAAGTAGCCAGTATGCTTACTTAGTGGGGCAAGTGGTAAAACAAATTGCTACTGATAAGAAGCCCATGTAGAGCTGAGTAATATAAATTATTTTGCCATTTTGATTGCCTCTGACCTACCAGATATACTTGGAGGTAGACTGTGCACAAGAATATAGGTTGGCAAATTATAGCCTGTGGTACAACTCTGGCTTGCCGTCCGTTTTGTACGGAAAGATGTATTTGGAACACGATCCTGTTCATTTAATTACAAATGGTCTCTAGCTGTTTTCATCTCAGAGTTGTGGAATTGAGGAGCAGTGGCAGAGAGGTGTACCCTCCAAAGCCCTGAAATTTACTATCTTACTGTTTAGAAATGAGCTTGCTGAGTGCTGCAATATCTTCTTTAATCTTTACAACAACCAAAGAAGCAGACTGTCTAAGCAAAAGCTTCGAGAATTAAGGGACATGTTCAACTTATGCACAGATCCTTGGGCCGGCTGGGATGCAGTCCCAGAGTGTCTGACTTGAAATCCAAGCTCGTAGTCCTCTTTCATCCTGCTATGTTATTTAGTTCTGCATCCCTAAATGCATATTTCAAATGTTCAAAAGCGGAAAAAAAATGCAGTGTAACACTAGATATAGAAAGCAAAGATTCCTAAATGGCTTGATAGTGTGATCGTCTGTCTGTCTCTGAGTCTCTGGAATGTGATGACGCATTTCAGCTTGTGCTCTTTTTTTTTTCTTTTTTCTTTTTAATACCTGTGGTGACCTTAGCCACAAGGGACAGACCCTGAAACCACAAGGCCCAAGGTGGTTATGCAAATGAATAAAAGACGCCCACGGAAAGGCTCTGAGGAGTAATGAAGATGGTGTCACACGGGGGATGCGCGCCTTGCCCAGCCAGACAGCTGGCTCTCGGCTGCTGTGTACATGCCTTGCAAAGAAAATCAGCCTTGTTTTACTCCATCTTTCAGTTTTTTGTTTTCTTTTTCTCTTGTATTTAGGACAGGGGCTACAGGGGCTACAGGTTCTCACTATTCAGATCGGACTCGTAGTGGTCCTCGTGTGTTCAGCCTCCCAAGTGCTGGGATTACAGGTGTGCCACCACGCCTAGTCTCAGTGGCCATCTCAGAGGGCCCCGGGGTGGGGCCAGCACAGCACACAGGGGATCAAACCCTGGTCGCTACGCTCAGCCTAAGCAGGCACTTTAGTCCACTGAGCTATCAGGCTGGCCCCATCTTTCAGCTTTTAGGTATGCTCTAGAAATGTGGATTTTTGTGTGAAGATTCTCTATTTTGCAACCACTTCGTGATAGAATTCTTACTCTAATAATAAAAGTAAAACAAAATAACAAAGTGTGGATCTGGAGTCTGAATTTGGTTTTTGGTTTCTCAAGTCTGTTATATGCTGTTTCCATTTTTCTTTCCTTAATTAAAAGGGGAGTGTAGCCTCAGTTATTTCCTATAACAAAGGGAATATTACATGTGAGGGACTATGTGATAGTGCTATCATTTTATTCAAATACAAATTGCACTATAAATCCTGTGAGAGGTGAACTTTTTATTTGGATGAAGATATGGTGGAGTAGCTTAGATAATGGACTGGGATCACAAAGGGTCAAAGGCAGGCAGGCCCTGCAATCTTGAGAGCCCGGGCTTTTGGGGAGGACAGACACGAGCACTGAATTCTTTGGAGCATGATTTTAACTGTTGGGACTATGTGTTATTTCCACACCTATGGAAAGTATTTTCTATCATTTATTTTCAGTGACTTTGCTTTTTAAAATTTTCTCAGTACATGTTGCCATCCATGAAATTTACATTCATTGTAGGCGCATGTGCATCACAGTTTGCACTATTTTTCAGTCTCCCTTCCCTTCCCACCTACCTCTCTCCTTCTGTCCCTAAATCCCCTTCACTCATGTTCATCCTTTTGTGAGTATTATTACTAGCTCATGTTTATGACGTGTAATGCTCACATTTATTGCGGCTATTTGGTACCTGTACATAGCATATCTTAAATCTTACTTCCCTTCTCCTCCTCCTCTCTCTTCACCCTCAGTCCCTGGGACCCCTTCCCATTGGCAAATGATTCATTTCATTTTTCATTTTGTCTATTCTTTATTTTGCTCTTTGTAATTTCTCTTGCTCAAATAAGAGATTGCGTGTAGTACTTAAACGTGTGTGTCTGATTTATTTCACTCAAATTATATTTTCCAAGTACATACATTTTCCTACAAATGTCTCAAATTTATACTTTTTTAATAGCCAAGTGGTATTTGATTATATATAAATATTACAGTTTATTTATCCCTTTATCTCTTAATGGGCATAGAGGTTGCTTCCAGGATTTAGGTATTAGGAATTGTGATGCTAACAACATTGGTATGCATGTATTGCTGTTGTATGGTGTCGTTAGCTCTTTGGGGAAGTCTAGAAGGGGAATAACTGGGCCAAATGCAATTTGTCATTTTAGTTCTTTGAGAAATCTCCACACCGTTCTCCACATCACTCTCCATAATTGCACTAGTTTATATGCTCGTCGGTGAAGGAGGGCTCCTTGCTCACCAGAGCACTTGTTAATCTTTAACCTCTTGGTGTTTGCCATTGTTACTGGTATAAGATGGATTCTTAGCATTGTTTTAATTTGTATTTCTTGTACAGTCAGAGATGTTGAACAGTTTTCATATGTTTGTAGGCCACGTATGCTTCTTCTGAGATCTGTCCATTCATTTCACTTGCCTATGTCTCGTCAGGCTTTTGTTTTCCTTTTTGTGGTACTGGGGATTGAATTCAGGACCTTGTGCTTGTCAGGCAAGCACTTATGTCACTGGGCTATTCCCTCACTTGCCTATGTCTTGATTGTATATTTTATTTTGGGTGGCCTCATTTTTTTAAGTAATTCTTTCCTTCCCTCCCTTATTCCTTCCCTCCATCCTTACTTCCCTCCCTCCCCTCCCCTCCCCTCCCCTCTTTTTCCTTTCCTTTCCTTTCCTTTCCTTTCCTTTCCTTTCCTTTCCTTTCCTTTCCTTTCCTTTCCTTTCCTTTCCTT